ACTTAATATTGCGGGTGCACACACACAAAATCATTAAATCTCATTCTCCGGCTTCCTTTTTTTCCCCAACACTAACCACTGTCTAATGATCTTATTTATCTACTTTATTTTCTCACTGTCTGTCTCCCCAACCAGAACATAAGCTCTGAGAGAACAAGTACCTTGTCCTTTTTATTCCTTGATGTCTGTCTCCTTAAATCTCAGAACATTAATCAACACACAACAAGTCCCCAGGTGTGTGCCGATGAATAAATGATGAAACCTGACAACACGTCTATCGGAGGCATTGCTAGTCCCTTTTTAAAGATGAGGGACTGAGGCCTGAAGATGATATTGACCTGCCCAAGGCCATAGAGATAGTAACTAGCAGAGCAGGAATATACACCTGGGTCCAAAACTTTCCCAAGACAGACCTACAGTAAGTCCTCGCTGACCATCACCAACAAGTTCTTGGAGATTCACATGAAGCAAAATGATGTATAGCGAAACAAATATTGTTGTAAGCTAACCGATATAAATATAAGTTCCTACAGCCTATTTCTGGTCACAAAAGATCACCAAAAATTTCTAAATCAAGACCCAAAACACTTATAATATTAAATATTTAAAATAAATGTAAACTATACATACACTTAAGAAAGATTAATAGAAACAAGTGAAGATAATTATTTTCCATCCCACTGATGCTAATTCAGGGTCACAGTTGGCCGGAGCCTGTCCTGGCAGCTCAGGGTGCAAGATGGGACCACCTGGACAGGACGCCCTTCCGTCTCAGGGTGCATCACACACCCACAGCCACACTCACTCAGATTGGGACAATGTAGACTCTCACGTGCATGTCCCTGGGATGTGCAAGGAACCAGAGTCCAGAGAAAACCCATGCAGACGTGGTGAAAACACGCAAACTCAACACAGACAGTGGCCCCAGCCAGGAATCTATTTTTTCCTCATCAACTTCATAACAAAATGATGCTGAACAAAACAATATTATTCAAAGGCCTGCTGTATGACACTACATGACTCAGCAGTGGCCGGCTGGCTCTTCCTGGAGTGCCCATCTTTCCTACTCCAAGTTCAGTGACGTCACTTGAGTAGCCTGCCGTTTGTCATGGCATCAGTCATTTACATCATGGAAGTCAGCAAAGTGATACCTGCCAGGCTTCCTCTTTCGGAGGCCCAGCTGGTCCGCCAGCTCCCCTTGGGGGTGTTTGTGGCTCACACGTGCTCTGCTAGTTTTGCTGATTGACTCTTACTAACCCTTAAATTCTCAAAAGCCTCCTCCTTCCTCCTGGTCTCCTTCCCCCGAATCCACTCCGATGCCCGCAAGAGGAAGCAGGAGGACCTCTGGGGCAGGAGGGGTGGGGCAGCCATTCTCGCAGTGGGCCGCTTTCCAGGCTTGAGGCTCAGCATGGTCCAGATCCTTCCACCTAATTAACTGGTCGTTATTCCTCAGAGACTGACACACTGAGAGCCCTCTTCCCAGGGTGATTTGTGGAGCTAGTGTCCTTCTAACCCCACAGGCCTCTACTTTCCTCGCTCACCTTTCAGAACTATAATTATGAAGGCAGGGGAGGGTGTCTAGTAAGTTTCCTTTTTCACCCCTTTCTCCTGGTTTGGATTGGGGGTTGTCGATCTAGGAGCCCCGGGAAATTCTTGGGCACTGTTCAGAGAGATGACGGCAGGTGGTGTTTGATCACAGGACCCCCACACTGTCACAGAAGCCACCCCACCCCCCGCCAGCCCCACGTGAGTGCTAAACTGTTTGCAAGCCAGGGTGGCAACAAATCCTTCAAGAGGCTGTTTGAAAATGCTTTATGGCACATGGGGTTACAAGGCTCTAGCTGAACAAATGGAAAAATTAGTCTACCTTAAAATATCCAAGGCAAGTAATTTCCTATCACCTTGTTTCTTAAATGTACTTAACATCAAGAAGCTGGGCTCCCCAAATACGGATAAGGGTCACCAGTTAAAATGGCAACTCAAAGATAAAAATCTTCCACTTTAGCGGTCACTCATAAAATGATGCCATCAGCCCCTCTGTTTGGAAAGCGAGGCGCTAGGAGTTCAACAACAGCAATTAAGGTTTCCTGAACTCAACAGGCTTCAGCAACGGAGCTGGTCGAGGAAGAAGACCTCACCCCGTGTCCACCAAGGCTTGGCACCAAACCCTCTGCCCCCTCCACCGGGGCTTCCCAAGGCCTCACGCTGTGGGTTTGGCTTAGTTTGATTTGGTATTTGCCTCTGATGAAATGGGTTGCTTTTGTAGCCCCTTTCTCCAAATTTCTAAACAACTCCTCACCCCATGAGGAGAGTGACTGACAACAACCAGAGTGGTAGGGAGTCCACTAATGTTCTTGTACTCTTTCTTTTTTTGCTTTTGAACCCTTTTGCTCTTCTTTTCATTCCTTTATTCATTTGTTTTATTCACTGACTCATCCATTTATTCTGGTCGTTCACAAGGATTTATCCAATAATGTTTATGCATCAGGAACTAAGAATGTTCATTCCTAGGCATACAGTAGCATACCAGCCAGGAATCCAGGCTGCAAAGAGCTTGCCCTTGGTGGCAGGGGCAGAGGGGAGAGAACAGAGCACTGTGGGCAAGCCCAGGACCTGCCCCTAGGAGGTACAGAAGGCTGCACTTGACCTATAACCTGGAAGATGAGCAGCAGTCTGCAGAAGAAGTAAAGAGGAAGAGTGTGCCAGACAGAGCAAACAACAGGTGCAAAGGCCCTGAGGCACAGGGCAGTTCAGCTTGGCAAAGGGGCCGAATTCATGCTGCAAGGCTGAAGCAGGAGGAGACTAGTGGTTAGAGGTGTGGCTGGAGAAATCAGTAGGTGCCAAATAATGGAAGGCCTAGCACACCATGGCAAGCAGGTGGGACTGGATGCAGAGGCCATAGAAAGGTTGGAGTAGCAAGTGACATGATGAATAAAAATAATAATAATGAAGAGTTAACCCATTTTTCAATATACAGCCAACTTTGACCAGGGGCCTCTGTGTCTCTCAAGATGCCCGGTGTCCTTATCAAATAAGTAATCTGGTCTTAATGTTGATGACTGGGGTGAGGGTAGGCAGGAGGAAGTCCGTGACTCCCGGGGGCCTGAAGAGAAGCCAGCCCTATAACTCTAGACGCAAATGGGAACGGCTGAAATCGCCGGGCTCACTGCGGTGGGTCTCCTCTGAGAGGGAGAGGCTGGGTGCCTAGATCTGGGATCTGCGGAGCATCATAACATCCTCCCGACACGTTGGGGCAGGTGAATTACTCCACCGGCTGTGAATTTGTGTCACTAAATTCTAACCCTTGGGTGAGAAAACGAAGGTTGATCACTGCGTCCAGCTCCTGGAATAAAGACCCAGCGCACACGCAAACCGTGAAGTGCAGACGGCGTCGATGTGAGAAAAGCCCCAGACCGGTGCTCAGCGTCACACACACTCGCACAGCCTCCCTCTCTTTCCTTGGAATGTCAGTTGTGACCGTCAGTTCCTAAAATAGCTCAAGCCTGAAAGTTGGATCAATTAAAAGTGACCAAAAGATGAGGTGCATTCAGGAAAGTTGGGGGTGGGGGGTAGCTCCAAAACAGAATCAGTCAGCCAAGAGGACCCATAAAAATCACATTATGAAATGCTTCAGTATTTTGTGGGCTTATAATGTGTCTAAAATTCCTGCTGTATTTTCATGGGTTTAAAGGAAACTACTACACATGCTCCATTTTACCCTCTAGAGAACCTTGCCCTGCTGTCATCGCTGGAGGAGGGGACTAAGGCCTGGCCTTTAACGACTGACCGAACACACAGGTTCCAGAGGCTACATCCTTTCAGCGATGCGCAAAGCCACACCAGTGGCCTGATGAGCTTGTCCCGGGTCGATTAGAACCTTTCTTAGGCATTCTTTCCCACCCCCTATTTCATGACCGGAAGCAGTAGAGCCTAATTTTTTCAAATATATGTTAAATCTAAGGGGTATAAAAAAATTTAGAGGCAGGTTGGGTGGAGAAGTCTGCCTGTAAGAAAGACTTCCCATAGCTGGAGACTCTCCAGGTAGCAAGCAGTACGCGCACAGACCTCCCTGCTCTTCTGCTACGGAAGGGTCCTTGGGTAACCAGACACTGCCGTGCATTTTTTTAAAGGGTGGACGTCTTTCAAAATGGTGCCTTCCAATAACCAGCAACTCCCATACATGATGACCACCACCGCACTTTATCAAGGAATTTGGTCATGTTTGAGAAACACCCCCCACAGAAGGACCTCCTTCCTGCCAAGTGGGTGCCCTGCGTTAAACTCCAATGGCCACCTCCGCTGAGCAAGCTGCCTCTGGCAGGGGACCGGAAGTGCATCACTCTTGGCAAAATGGGAAATTACTTGTGAGGACAGAATTAAACTTCAGTAGTTCGTCCTTTTCTCAACTGTGCTTTTGTTCGCAGCTTCAGCTAGGAGAGTGCACACATTTAGTTTGGTTTATGAGTTCATATTTTATAATTAACGTTGCCAACAGGGGAGTTTGATTAATACCAAACAGTGGATTTTGAGCAATGTTCCATACAAATTGCCAAATTTAGCAATAAAATAAATTGGTTATGTGCACATAATTAGTAGGATAACTATTTAAAATTCAAAACCGAATGTGAATAATTCCAAATCATCTGAGCCACAAATCATTATTTGTATGAAGGGGGGAAGCATAGCATTTGGGTTTTATTTTGCCCTCGACCACAGTGTTATCCACCACCAAGCTGAACACAGTGAAACTTCTACAATGAGTTGTGATGACATTTTAGAGCAACCCAGAAACACACACCTACGTGTGTGCATGCACACACACACACAAAGGGAGTGTCAGAAAGATAGGAAATGCCCAACTGTGAATTTTCATTGCAGGTGTAAGAACCTATAACAAAATGTTCAGCAAATGCTGCATTACATTTTTCCGACAAACTCCGTACAAACCTCTGGCACACAACCACCCAGCAGGGCCTTCTCCCTTTAAGCATTCACCGTACCTTATTGTCACCCTGGACTTCTCCAAGCCTTTGCTGCAGTTCTTTTATTTCTTCTCCCAGATGTTTGTTTCGGTCCTGAGAATCTCTCAGTAGTTGTGCAAGATTAGCCTGGAAATATCAACACATTATGAAATACAATCAGAAATGGAGGAGTGGATAAATGGGAGGCTTTATTAGGCTTCTAGGGGCTGGCGTCCAAGCCCAGCTGAACCACACAAAGCTCATCAGAGTAAACAAACGCATACACGAATGCAGTGAGTGTGCACATCACACCATGACGAATGCATGGAGGAAATGAAGTTGGCTGTGAACTTCCATTTGGGGATGTTCTTTGTTTCCAGAATGGCTCAAGGACAAGTAATAAAAAAGTTGTTTGTATTTCACTTTAAAAAAAAACTCTAAATGCTTTTTTCACTAAAAATCTTGCAAGTGGTATAGAGTTTAATTGCAAAATGTAGGCCAACAATATAGGAAAAGTTTCATTTCCTTGCTTAGATAGTTGTTTGCCCTTCAAATAGATCTGGTTTCATAAACTTCTCTTTGCTACCTCAGTGCCCAGAATTTTGATCACAAAAGGAAGAAACGAGAGAAAACACGAGTGATGTGCCACAATTTCAGAGATCAGGATCCAGAGATAATTCAAAAGTCTCCTGGGCTGGTTTTCCTGCCACCTTACTCCAAACAGCCAGGATGGTCACATGCCCGTCCATCTTCACGATGTCACCCCTTCCTTAAGATTTGCATCCAGCTGCGACCCACATCCCTCTGGCCCATGTGGGAGGCTGTCCAATGGCCAGTCTCCCCTCTCAGTGCCTCTTCATCTCCCACCGTCCCTGCCCTTTCCCCGTAATACACAGCACCTTTACCGCATTCCCACCCTTTTCAGGGTCTGCAAACTGGCACTCGCTCGCTCTCCCCGCCTACCGACACGCTTGCATCCATCCATCAAGCCTGTAACTGACCGTTCCTCTGAGCCTCACGTGGCTTCCTGTTCTGCAGCACTATTTGTATTTCTGTAGCTGTCATTCATTCCAGTCCTCACCTTGCTTATGATGGTCTTATCTAAGATTAGCAAGAAGACTGCAAGCTACGGGGAGGCAGAGATGCTGTTCTCTGTTGCCTCGGCTCCAGGAAGCTGGTGTTCCAGCCAGTGTTTTAAAGACTTACGATAAATAAATGAGGGAGGACACAGGGAAGGAAGCAAGCAATCAGCATGTGACTCCTGGGAAGGAATCATTCAGAAATCATTACTCGCAGGGATTTTAAACATTATAGAGTCCCTTCATGTTATAGCCGAAGAAATTCAGATCCAGAGCCGTCAGGACACTGGTGTAACCGTAGTGGCTAGATCTCCAAAGGCTTCAGTGTTACGAATGTGGGGGGGTACTCAGTTCTGTTAGGTACTAACAAAAGAATAAAGGTGAAAGAATATAAAACACACCTGGGCTCATCCTTGACTCCTTACTTTATCTCCTCTCCCATTTCCCATCTGCTGGGGCACCTGGCATCTCTCCCCTCACGGTACCCCCGCCCCAGTTCAGCTTCCCTCCAAGCCCCTTGCTGCTCTGCACACATACGAGGCCCACTCCCTGCCCAGTGCTGTTTCCCGTTCCCTCTCCCTGGAGCGCTCTCCCTCCAGAATAACTCTCAGCTCACACCCTCACCCTTTTCAGGCCTTTGTTCGAAGTCCATGGGCTCCGGGGGGCCCACCGACACCCCTTCATCTGATACTGCAACCTGCCCACCTGCAGCCCAGCCCCGTCCCCTATACCCCGTTTTCCTTCTCCCATTGTCATCTTTTCACGCACCACGTCGTGTACTTTTTGGTTTATTGCTCACTACTTGTTTCCTGTCTCTGTCTCCCTCCTAAAATAGAAGTTTCGTGAAGGGCGAGGAACTTTGTTTTCTCTGCTGACCTAGTAGATACTCCATACATTTTTTTTTAATGACAGGCGATAGCTGGGCCTGGAGGTGTGAACTCAGCCCCAGCAGGAACCTGGGGTAATAATGACAACGGCCAACCCTGAACCCAGTGCCCAGCTGGGAGTCTTTCGTGAGAAGGCCCACTCATCCCCACTGACGGGGTCTAACCAAGCCCCGATTTCTGCTCACTTATTTGCGAACATTAATCTGATCTAATTTTTCTATCCTGTATTTACAAGTCTCATTATCTGGTCACAGTTGCATTCCACTATTCAGACAAAAATTTGGCAAAGGATGAGGAAAATTAACTCCCCTTTTATAGGGAGGCAAGAAAAGAAACAACAATGGGCTACCTTTGGAAATTTCTCTCTGTGGAATCAGAAAGACTAAGTTAGATCCCCGTCCCGCCACTGGCTGTGCTGGGTGGCCTCGGGTGAGGTTCTTAACTTCTTGAGTTTTCTCATCTGTGAAATGGACTTGCCATCCATACTTCGTGTGCAGATTTGATACTGAAATTGAGTAATAAATACAGGGCACCTGCCACAGTGCCTGGCACAGAGGCTCTGGTAAAAGGCTGGTTGCCCCCCCTCCCATGGCTATGCCCTTCCATGTGCCCCGACTCCACCGTGAAGGGAACCGTCGGGTAGACATGACCAAATGCCTCCTCGGACACAGATGGGTCCTTTGTGATCCTGCCTCTTCGCTCTTCCTTACGCATCTATTCATTTATACAACAAATCTTTACTGAGCACCTACTATGTGCCGGGCACTCTTTTAGACTCTGAAGCTAGAGCAGTGAGCAATACAGATAACACCCCCAGCCCTTGTCAACTGACACTTTAACAGGTGATAGTACATTAATTACATTGTATTATAACAAAATAAATAATGGCCCAGTAGTTGGATGATTGGTGCTGTGGAGAAAAATAAAGCAGGCAAAAAATAAAACAGAGTGTGCCAGGGGAAGCAGCCACAGAGGCCTCCCTGGGAAAGGCACATTTCAACCAAGACTTGAGAAAGGACAGAGTGAGGGAGGGAGGGAGGGAGTGCCTGTGGAAATCCCGGTGGGCGTGTCCCTGCTCCAGCTACTGGCTTCCCTGTGTCCCTCTCCCATGGGAAAACTTCCACTTTGGAGACCAGTTCACTCCAGAGACCGCAGTGAACGGACAGACAGGCAATTTGGTTCCTGATTGCCGTTTGCTGGCTCCTCCCCTCCGCCCCTACAGCTCTTCTTCCTGAGCACAGACCGTCAGCAGTGGGCAGCCTCTGCCTTCCCTCCGCATGGCTCCCCAACATTTCCCAGACGTTAGCTCAGCAAACACAGTCCTCCTCCGACAGGTGGAGGGATGGGCCCCCAGGCCAAGGGACTGGCCTGGAGGCGGGGGAGGGGGGCCTGGTACAGCGGGCAGCCTCCCAGGGGCCCACCACAGCCCGCACATGATGGGACACGTCAGCCCCGCCATCTGCAGGACACAGCAAAGTCTGCTTTCACAGAAGCCTGTGGAAGATACACTCAGAAAGAAATGCTTGTAAGAGTAGCAGTGAAAACTTAATAAAAGACACACGACAACAACAACAAAAGACTGCGATGTCTCCAATTTTCCCTTTTTGAATCAATAATGGCTTGAGCCCCTCAGGTGGGTGGGCGTTCCCTCACCAACCTGATCACAGTATCTAAATCTGTACGACTCCGTAGTGAGAGACCAGTTCTCTGCCTCCGCTCCATCCCAGACCAGAACTTGTGCAAAACGCAATGAAAAGTGAATTTAAGAAGACATCAAGACCCCAAGTGTCTGTTAGAATCAAAAGCCATGCTGTCAGATTGCTATCAAAGTTTCTGAACGCTTTTAATGTCCGCACTTAGCTTGTCCAGAAACAGCGGCTTGCAGCCTGGCCCTGGTCCTTGGGCCTCACTTTGCACAGCCCTGAGCCTGGCAACGCTCCCTGGCATTTAGACGTTAGATGGAGCAGGGCAGGTGCCTGGCATAACCCTCAAGGGGGCCGGTGATACATAAAGCAGAGGACAGGGCTGCTTTAGGAAACAGCGGGTCAGAGGCCCGGTGATGTGATTGTCAAACATTATTTACTCTGCAGCCCGGCTAAAAAGAAATCTACCAAAATAAAGCCAGGCCTGTCCACTGTAGCTGCGGAACAATAGTCAATCAGAACCGCGCTGCCTCCGAGTGAGTCCACAGTAAATGTACACCAGCTTTAAAATTGACCCCTGGGGCAGGCTGGGGCGGGGGCGGTGTCCCGCTTTAAAGCAGTGACTTGTAATTTTCTTTTACATTTCACCAGCTGGATTACTTGTCAGCACACAATTCTTTCCTATTCATCAGGCCTTCCACCTCTTCAACTCCAAAACAATAACTTTGAAAACTAGAAAATGACTATTCTGATACAGTGCCTAACACCTTAACACCTGAAAGAACAAAAAAGAAAAAGAAGAAGTAGTCCATTTCAAAGCACTCAAAATAGAGGAGAAAAGTTCACACAATTCTTTTGACCAAAAATAACCCCCGTGACTCACACACATTCACCACAACAATCCATCAGGCGAACCCGCGACGCCTGCTTATAATTTATCGGCGACGCAGCCCATTTTGTCTCCATGTTACTGAGAAGGATTCTGTGACCATCGGTTTAGAGTGGCAGCGCCATGTACAGGAAATGTCAGGGAAACGGCGGCAGACGCTGGGAAGGATTTCACAGAGAAAGAAAACAAAACCGAGAGATTATTTCCTCCAAATCTCCGGGGCGCGGGGGAGCATAAATAGCAAAACATGAAAAGGCTTACAAAGAAGCCTCTTTTCCATATTCAGATCTAGCCAGGGCCGACATTAAAGGCTGACATTTTAGCTCTGATTATAGTGGGACGCTGAATATGATGGAAAACGGTGTAGAATCCATATACACTTAAGTCCCTCTTTCTGGCTAGATGGGGATCTGTGAAAACTGGGATGGGGAAGGGAGGGGAGAGAGAGCTGATGAAAATACAGCCCGAGACCCGAGGCTGACAGTGCCTGACAGCTCTCCATTCCGCAGGCCTTCCCGCGTGGAGGAAGGGTGCACCCCCACCTACAACGATGTCTGCAGACTCAGGCTGCCAAGGCCAGCGCCTGCTGTGGAAAGGAGGAGGATGCTGGAAATTCTCCCTGCACAGAGCTGAAGGCTACGGCCCCTGA